CGGGGACGTCTAGGATGTGCGAAACGAATTTCCGTCGGCGTGCACGACGAGCAAGCGCGCGCTATCATTGAGGTCGCGAGCGAATTAAAAGAAAGAAACGCCGTGTCTCCGCGTTCCCATCTAAACTATATAGAAAATGTGATGGCGGTAAGACGTGGTTACGTTTTACGAATATATAAAAAAAAGAAAAGAAAAGAAAAGAAAAGAAAAAAAAGAATAAAAGAAGTTAGAAACACGTACTATCGCGTATATACCATGACGGGAAGAAGAAGAAGAAGAAGAAGAAGAAGAAGAAGAAGAAGAAAAAGAAAAAGAAGAAGATACGCACGAAAATATTTTTGCTCAATACTATGGAACGTTAAGGGAACGCAAAGTCTCGCACGCGGGTTCATCAATATTTTCATTCACAACTTTCTGGACGGAAACAAGCTTTGACCGGCAGTCACGTACGAAAACACAGTGGACATACTGAGTTCCGAGGTGAAAGGTGGACTCGATCAAAAAGCACCATCGTCGTCGTCCTCATCGTCATAGTCTTCGTAGTCGTCGTCGTCGTCGTCGTCGTCGTCGTCGTCGTCGTTGTAGATGCCAGGTTAAAGGACGATGGCAGGTGTCAGGCGATCGATTGATCATCCTCAAAGAGACTCCAATAGGATCCCCTTCGATTGTAACCGACGCTTACGAAAGTATGATAAACAGAAGGAGAAAAATGATATAATAGAATGAAATAGAGGAAAAATAGAATTTTCGAAAGAATCTCTAAGATCTTTGTAAAAGAGATTTTTCTAAGAATAACCAGTGATTAAGATATTATTTAAGAAATGAAGGAGAGAAAGAGAAAGAAAAAGAGAAAGAGAGAGAGAGAGAGAGAGAGAAAACTTGAGGAAGTAAACCCGATGGGTCCTCGACAGTGTGCGCGTTTCAAACATCTGTTAGCAAGGAGATATCTTTCCTCGCGGCTTTGCAGATTTTCTCGCTGACGAGATCGCGTACGTCTACCTAGCGATATCGCGCATGTAAGTACACACGACTACACGGCCGTATATATTACGTCGCAAACATAAATCATAAGTACCAGTAGCCGAGGTATGCGTTCGATCTTCGTCCCTCTTACCTCTACTTTCGTCTCTCTCTCTTTCTCTTTCTCTCTTTCTCTCTTTCTCTCTTTCTGTCTTTCTCTCTTTCTCTTTCTCTCTGTCTGTCTGTCTATCTATCTATCTATCTCTTTACCAATACTTACCTATCTTTCTATGTCCAAAGACTGTTGCGCGTTCCGTATACGTCGAATCCGTTCGAGTTATTAAATTATTAGAAACGTTGAGAGATTTACAGAGTTCGTCGATTACTCAGAAGAACTATGTAATTCTAACGTTATGAACTGTCGAAGATTGACAAGTATAAATTAAACGTAATCGGTTTCATTTCTAATTGATTGAGAAAAAAAAAAAAGTTATGAGTTTTTTCATAGATCGTAAATTCTCTTGTTAATTCGCATGAGATATGTTATTATAATGTATATACATATATATATATATATATAACTATAAACAATATTATAAAATATTTAATATCATTAATTTAACATATTTATAATATATATAATATTATGTAATATTAAATATACGTGATAAAAAAAGATTTTCTTGTAAACAACAAATTACTTAACAGCACAAAAAGAGAGAGAGAGAGAGAGAGAGAGAGAGAGAGAGAGAAAACGAACAAAAAGAGAAAAAAAAAGAAAAGAAAAAAGGAAAGAAGAAAGAAAAAGAAAATAAAAAGGAAAGAAAAAGAAATTTATTTCGTCGTATTTGCCGAAACTTTCCGTCTATCTTCTTTTTCTATCCATTTCGATATAATCAGGCCGCGAAGGTAAAGCCATTAGAAACGCTGTAGGACAAATCGAATAGTCGGCATGGAACAAACGTCTCCCGTCCTACATTTCGCGGCCTACAGACGAGACGCTGCGGCAGATGCGCTGACAAGCGAGAATCGCCTTAAAGGCGTCGCGCTCGACAGATTGCACCAACGACTGATTGATGCACCCGTACAACAGCGATCCAACGACCGGTGCGCACCGAGAGAGGAGAACCAAGCGCATAGCTTCCCTATTCATCTTCTTCTTCTTCTTGCGCTTCTTCGCGCATTAGCGACAATACCTGGGTGCATTAAGTACCGTCGGCCACGTTCGACCGAGAACATGGTCCGGCACTGACCATTTCCCCCCTTTAAAAACTGCGAATACTATGGCTTTACGTACGATCGCTTCTTGAACCTATCGAGAGTCTTCTTACTTAAAGATTTCTTTTACTTTGTCGGCCGCCGATCTATTCGATTAAATCTTCTTTACTGTCCCATTTTGTTCTACAATTATCTAGATCGTATTTCTGTCCCTTTTTTCTTTTTCATTTTCTTATTCTTTTTTTTTTTTCTCATCTCGTAGAAAGAATACCGAGTCTACCATAATTTATAAAACTTTTATACCATCTCACGGCCCTCTCTCTTCTCTCCGACCGCCCGCCCGCCCCCCTCTCTCCACCCATCGCCCCAATCTCCTTCTAACACACCTCTATCCCTGTTCCCGTGACAAAAATCGAGATCATATTTCTTCGTGCCCGGTGACGTAAAATCGTGATTGACATACGTTCCTAAGAAAAAAAGAGAGAGGGGATACACTTGGAACACACATACACACACACACATATGTTACGCACGCACGCACGTACGCACATATATACGACGTATATGTACACATACAACTGGTGCCTATCACTATTAATATCCTTTACCCTAACGTTCCCTTCCATCGTGCGACCAACGCCTACACGATCAGCGGGGTTTCTACCTTCGTAGAAATCCATGCGTCTTATCTGCTTGACATTTGACAGGTACGATGGCCTTAGATTCCTTACCAGGCATATAATCGCTGAATGTATCATCGTTCGACAATAATACCATGCCGAACGTGACACGCTTTTCGCGTCTTGGAATTTTGCAAAAATCGATCGATCCTCTGTGAAAATTCGTCACAATTTTACGGTTAACAATGAATTGGCATTTATCAATAAATGGAGTATAAATATAATAAATATAGATATATAGAAATCCATTTCTTTTAACTTATGTTATATTTAAACTTTACGGCATCGTAGTGTCAATTAGTCGGCCCCGAAGTTCGCGCCTATCGCCGTTTTGTACTATCAACGTCAACATTCTACTTTTTTTATTTCATAGTATTTAACGAAAAGTAAACGTTAATTACTAACTGATAAATGTGACCGATTAACTTCGGCTCTTGGAATGACTTTTTAAAGAAAAGAATTTTTTAGTTTCATATATGAGAAGCAACGGTGTACATACATAAAACGAACGAATAAGGGGTATCGTTATTATGAATAAATAAATAAATAAATAAATTAATTAATTAATTAATTAATTAATTAATAAATGAATGTCGAATTATTAGTATATTTTTAAATTTCCCTAATTAGAAAGAATTTCTTTTCACAGGGCCGCATGCCGTTCGTGCGTGCAATGAGCATGGAGCAACGGTGGCAGGATTTGGCATCATTATTATCTCTTCCCGGTGCTCCGGATCATTTCGCGCATCCATCGCATCCTGGATACCCAGGACACGGTATAAGTCATAGCCATTACGAAGCACAACGTAATGTTCTACTTCACAATGCCACTTTGGCACCACCAGTTGGGGATCTTAACTCGACGGGTCCTTATCATAATGTAGGTGAGTATTAAGAAAGGAACGATGGAATCATTTTAATTGATATAAAATTATATTATTTCGAATATTCCTATATCTTGAACTAAACTGCTCACTGTTCTAGGTGGCTCGTCGAATCTTGGATCAGCCGTTGCTACTTCAATGAATTTAACTAACAGTAGCGAACCAATGGGCGCAGAAAGTGGTGCTGCTTACAAATCTGAGCCTAGCGATATGATGTATTATCATGCACCAACGTCAGACTCGATAAATCAAACCACTGACGGTTTTCTTTCTTCTCTTCTCAATGATGAGGATTTACATCTAATGGATATGGCTATGAATGACGGTAAGAGAAATTATGGCCTTTGTTTTTCTCGTCAACAAAATTTATTATTATTATATTAATATTATCGTTATTATTATTATATCATTATCGTTATCACTTATCTTAACACTTATGCACATGCCTCTCGTATACATACATATAAATATATACATACATACATATATATATATATATATATATATATATATATATATATATATATATATATATTTAGATACAATATGTATATCTTGATACGGAAGTACAGAATCAAAGGAAATTTCTTCTTCAACGATATATTCTTTTTCTTTTCTCTCTTTTTTTTTTTTTAATTTTATTATAAAACAAAAAAAAATGTATAAAAACCTTATAAGACAACGTAATACCACTTATCTTTCTTATATTAAATTTCTTTTCTACGTAACAATTGATTCTTAAGTCTAACGTTTGTACGGTCAATGGTAATAATAATACCCGTTGCGAGATATTTTTGGAATGCATCTCTCGCATATTTTCGATTATTATTTCATAAGTAAGAAATTAGGAAAACAAAATTATCACGATGCAGTTTACTTATTTTTTTAAATCTCTTCATTATTGAAGAATATAATTATAAGTCTATAGTTAAAGGAACTTAAGAGACAGTCAATAGATCACCGTGAAAAAATAATGTTTTCTAATACATGTATACACATATATATATATGTATATATATATATATATATATATATATATATATATATATACATATACATATATATATATATATATATATATATATATATAAAAATAAGACAAAAATAATCGTACGATTATTTGAAAATAAAAGTCACTATATCTTGTAAAGCTCTCTTAAATAATAGGGTCAGTATGGGAAGGGATTTGCGCGCTTTTGTAACACTAAGATTTAGAGATATCTACTTTACATAAAACGCCTTTTTTGGTCAGATCTTCCCTTGAAAGTATATAGTAATGTTCTCTTTTACCATTCTTCTTCTGGTTCCAATACAGGATTGTATGCTTCTTCACCGTAAGGCACTCCACTACTCTCGTCCTCGAACTGTAATTAATACGATTACATAATTAATCAAAAAATATAATACAATTTATTATCGTTATTATAATTATAATAATGATACACATTGTATGATATACTTACGTTACGAATATCTTCTCCGCCAAATTGTTTTGATTTTCCAGGTGCTAAAGATTTGTTGTCCCCTCCGTTTAACAACCAATCTGGTATCGGTTGATCCGCTTGTTTCAAAATTTTTACCAGATCAGGAAGCAACGGTGTGTCAATGTCCGGATCAAAGAATGACGTAGCTCTTCCACGATTACCAACACGACCAGTACGACCAATTCTATGAACGTATTCGTCAATTCCTTTTGGCAAATCATAATTTATAACGTGAGCGACATTACGTATATCTAAACCACGTGCCGCAACTGCCGTTGCAACCAATACAGACATTCTACCACTTCGAAAATCTTTTAAAGCCTCTTCCCTTTCTCTTTGTAATCTATCGCCATGAATACTCGTTGTCGGATAATTGTTTTCCGAAAGGAAGGCTGCGATAAAGTCCGCTGTTCTTTTCATTTCTACGAAAACCAAAGTACCCTGTTGTGTACTACTCACAGTTTCTTTCTCCATAAGTTCCTTCAACATTTCTCGCTTTTTATATTTTGTAACTTCATAAAATTTTTGTTCCACGTCCGAACATGCACCGCCCACTATGCCTACTGCTACGAATAGATAATCTTTTAAAAATCGTGATGCCAATCGTTGTATCTCGTCTGGAAATGTGGCCGAAAACATAAGGGTTTGCCTTTCTCCCGTAGGAACCATCGTTTCGTGATCGACAATTTTTTCAACGTCAGGCAAAAATCCCATGTCCAACATACGATCAGCTTCGTCCAAAACAAGAAATCGTATAGATGTTAGCGTAATCCGTCCTCTTTGAAGAAAATCTAATAGTCTTCCTGGTGTGGCTACGATTATATCACAGCCAGCAGAAACTCTGCTTCCCTGATGTGAGACAGAAGTTCCACCGTATGCAACGACAGCTTTCAAAATTGTGCCTGCTGAGAATTTTAGAACTTGTTCGTATATTTGTATTGTTAATTCTCGAGTCGGTGAAATTATAATGACTTGTGGTGAGCAAGTAGAATTCGAAAAATGTTCTCTGGGTGATTCTAATAGAGTATTTACGATTGGTACAACAAAGGCTGCAGTTTTCCCAGAACCAGTTTGCGCGCAGGCCATCATATCTCGACCGCTCATTATAATAGGTAATGCATATTTCTGCACAGGCGTTGGTTTAGTATATTTAGATTTTTGAATATTACTTAAAATATATTTTCTTAGACCAGCATCCTCAAAAGATTCTATCCATTGTGGTACATTATCTCCACTTACACAAACCTCAATTTGATCATATTTTTTGAAATTAATGCCTTGTTGAACGCCATTTTCAAATAAAGACTTTTCATCCGTAGATACATCAGGTGGTATATAGACTTCTGTTTTTGACTTTTCTTTACTATCTTCATCTCCTTCTTTATTGCCACCTCTGCTACCACCACCACCACCACTACCACCACGGCCTCTGCCACGACTACCTCTATTTCCTCTATTACTTCGTCCACCTCTGTCTCTTCCATGATCTTTATTAAAATCAAATTCATTATCTCCACCGTCATTGTTTACATTTTTATGATTTCTACCACCTCCTTTACTTTCTCTTCTACCTTTTCCATCTTTAAAATCTCTTTCATTTTTTTCATCGTCATCTTCATGCCAACCTTCATCTTTATTATCATTTTCATAACAATTATCATCTTTTGTTGATCTATTAAAATCATTCTCATCATCATATCCATAACTATTATCTCCTCCACCATGATTTTCATTTCTATATCCTCCTCTAATTCCTTTTCCATATCCACCACCACCACCACCACCACCACCACCACCACCACCTCTACCATTACGACCTCTGCCACCACCACTAATACCAACACCACCACCTCTGACATTTCTTATGTTGTCTGAATCTGCAAGTTTGTTATCATTGTATCCAAAATTATCATTATATTTATTATTATTATTTTGTAGTATGAAACCACGCCCTCTTCCATAACCTCGACCACCATCGTCTTCAAACTATTGAAATATAAAAATATCAATTAAAATATAATGCGTTGTATGTAGATTTATTACAAGCTTTAGTATTAATCAGAGATAATATCTACTCACAGAAGATACATCTACAGGTTCAGAGTAATCATTTTCATTATCCCAATTTTGAGTCATTTTGTTATCTGTAAAATTAATTTATTATATATGTAAGATATAAGGTTTTTACTCTATATATATACATATGATATACACATATATAATACAATATATTCATGAAATATTATTTTCTCAAATTTCAAAGTAAACAATAATTAAGATATAAACATAAATATAGAATAAACAATATAAAATATTCACGAGTGAGATCAAATATATCTATAAAGTAGTTAACAATTTTTGTTGATCTCGATAGGTCAAAAGAAAAACGGAAGGATCGCTTTCTATAAAGAAAATAAAAAAAAAAAAAAGAACAACAAAAAAAAAAACAAACCAAAATATTAACGCCCTTGACTAATAGATATAGATACATATGTAATATCCTTGATGGAATTGAACTGTTTTGAAACCAAACATAGTAAAATATTCTCATCGACTGAACGACGTGATTAATACAGTTTCAGTACGTCAAAGAAAATAAATCCATTTTTCATTTATGCAAAATTAAAATGATAATTTTTATCTTAGACATATAATTCTAAATTATATATAAAGGAACAAAAGATAGATAAGATATTTGATTTTCATCAGGACATTGCAGATATAAAATTTTTTTCTACAAAGCAATTGCATTGTTCACAATGTCTCTTGTGTATCAATGATGCTTGATCATCGTATGGCATTGAATTTAAAGCTAATGCAAGAACAACGATGAAAACATAGGATTAAAATTAAAATTTAAACACGTGTTATTTATATCAAAGAAAATATAAAGTCTCGCGCCTATACCGGTAAAGATGGCCGATTTGACATCGAACGATTTGTGACTGTCGATACTTACATTATTGATGTATTCGATTTTCGATGGGTTGCCAATTGAACAAAGAGATATCGTTTTATATCGTTCTTTCTTCGAACAATCGCACCGAATGACTTTTTTTTTTTATTCAACGTAGAACAACTCGCAAAACAGATTATTAAAGGCTTTAATTTAACGGAGCTCAACCAGCGTCTGACGAAGTATGCGATGAAATGCGCAGATCGCGCTGCGCTTCTCTATCAACTTCAAGGAGAACGTTTCGCGACCAATCACCGTTCAGCGTCTTCACGCTAGAACTCAATACGCGTACGTTCTACGCATTGCGCCTTTGTTTTTTCACAGTCGCGTAGCTACCAGCACGAGTACCCATACATATATTTATGTATATATGCATACGTGTATATAATTTTGTTTTTTTTTCTTTTTTTTTTTTTTTAAATAATTTTGTTCACATTTGCAATCACATTATTGTCGTAGAATTAAAAGTCTTCTTTTTACTCGTATAGTGTCACTCTCATACGATTATCATTTGATAAAAACGTTTAGACAACGTAGGATATGAATAAGTAATACAGAAAAAAAGATAGCTATCAGATAGATATCAGAACGGGCTTCTTCAATCTTGATACTGCTTAAGCTTTTTCTTTTTTTTTTTTCCTCATCTAATCGTGCTCTTTGCTAATATAACTAAGCGTTATTGATTCTGTTGTGTGTGCTTTGACAGTCAAGTTAATTAATATATTTTACTCTTCCTTCTCTCTCTTTGTTTTGTTTTTTTCTTTTCTTTTCTTTTCTTTTCTTTTAATCTAATTTATAAGACGTACATCGTGAAAAATCTAACCTATGTAACCTGTGTAATTTTAGTATGGCTTTAAACTTGTTTTTTCGATATCACACTCGGGACTCGTCATGATTCATATTGTATGAATGTTTGTGTACATATATATATATATATATATATATTCGATGCAAATCAAAAGGACGAAAAAAAAATTAGCTGTTGCATAAGTTAATGTCGTCATTTAAATTTTTCTAGATTCGACATATACTGAGGCGTGTATTTCAAAGTAATAAACGTCAATAAGTGCTTTTCTATATTACAGCTTTTACAACGTAACATGCTAAGTCATTCCGTACTTTTATGAACGCATAAGATTTTATGAGTTTTTTTTTTCTTTTTTTTTTTTTTTTTTTTTTTATATCCTTTTTTCTTCTTTTTTTCTTTTTTTTTCACGAATATGCAATCGATAAAGGAGGCAATGCATTTATAGGAAACTGTCGGGATATTAAAAATTCTAAAAAACGTTTGAAAACGTGATCGCAGATATAATACATACATACATACATATATATATATATATATATCACATTGCATTAACTTTTGAGTATACGCCTTTGTTAAAAATAAATAAAGGAAATACTTGTCTTAGATCACAGAAATATATATATATATATATTTTTTTTATCTTAGAGGTTATGTGTGAAAAAAGATACTGCACATCCATGTATATAGTTATCTAAGTTTAAACGAATATTCCTTTAATCTCTTTTTGAATCGTAGAAAGTTTCAAGTATTAGAAATACTTAAAATTTGTTCAGAGTTAATAATACTTATCGTCTACGTGATAATAAATATACAAAATGATACGATCGATGTATTTATACAAGTCAACTTTAGATAACCATAAACAGATTTTGGGACCGTATCAGACTGTTCTTTGTACGTCATAGAAAGAAAGAAAGAAAGAAAGAAGGAAAGAAAAAAAGAAAGAAAGCGAAGCTTTGAAGAAAAAGCTCTTTATGGAACACATTGTAGATCAATAACAATTAGACCCTACAATGAATAGATTTTTACGATGTCTTGTTTAGTCCTTTGAGAAATTTTCTTTCTTTCGGATATTAAATCTAAGTTGTATAAGTGCTTTAAAGAAATCCTGAATATTCTTGAGAAGACAATAAATAAGACGGAAAAATTGTTAGTCATCTACATTTCTTTTTTCTTTTTTTTTTTTTTTTCTTTGTGGAAGATCGAACATATGTGGAGGAGGGGGAATATTTTTGAAAAAAAAAAAATAACAAAAGAGGCATGCGACTTATAAAAGATACGAAAGTAAATGAAAATCGATAGATTTAATAATGTCGTTCAGAGGGATGGTCAAAGTTATTAGCTGGTCGTCTTCGTCGTCTTCGTCATCGTTGTCTCGCAACGATCGCAGTTCTCTTATCAGTTGGCTCGGCTCGTACCGAGAAATTCGTAATGATCCACCAACGAAGAAGAGAATATGTGTCCGTTTGCACGAGCTGTCTTCTTCTATCTAGATGCGTATGTATAGGTGGTACAAATGTGTGGAAGCTCATGTAGGTAAGTCGCCGAGCGATGAATAAGGAGAAGAAAAGAGGAAGAAGAAAAGCTTATGTTAGTTTCGCCACGGCCGCGGATAGGAACGATAGGATCGGTTTTCACTAACGTTTCGCCTTCGATTTTTCCGTGAAGTTTTGTGTTAGGAAACTTACTCGATTTCCTTGAAATTTGACTCTTTCATTGTTTGGTGAATGCACGAATGGACGTTTATATAAGATCGATGATAATCAGGTACTATATATTTCAAAGTACAGAAAACAAAATTAACATAAAAATATATATACATATTTATATATATATATATATATATATATATATATATATATATATATAATTTTATTTAAAAGAAACAACAAAAAAACTTACTACGTATCCACTTATGTATCCGGATTTTTACGCGGGTAAATTCAAAATTGTTAATGGTCGAGAGAAGAACGACGCGGGTAATTTAAAAGAAAATTTTTACGTTGACTTCGAAATTCCTTTTCTCGTTTTCTCGAATAAATCTCATGAGGAAAGAATTTTTCGACAACTTTTTGACGATTCTTTCAAGTAGGGATTTCTTATCTCCTGTTTGAAAAATAAAAAGAAAATTCTTATTTTTCTTTTTTTTTTTTTTTTTTTTTTTTTGTCCTTTCGACGGTGATAACCGGCTATGAAATAATAAGCAGAAATCCTTTCATCGATCTAATAGGATTTATACAAACGTTTAACACTTGAAGTTTAATATATTATCTCGTTTTATAATTCGACGAGTGTCGAGTTCGCTTTGCGATCACGAGGTTCTATAGAAAATCCATGGAATTAAATGTCACGACAAAAATGACACGACAACGACAACGACAACGACAACGACAACGACAACGACAACGACGACGACGACGAAATTCAATCCCATCAATAGATTTCGATATCAAAGTTACTCCATTTCTTGAGAAATAAAAAAAAAAAAAAAAAAAAAAAACAAACAAACAAACAAACAAAAAAAGAAAAACAAAAGAAAAACTCAAAATACATACAATACATGATTGCAATTGTAAATTTTCAAATCGTTCAAAAATTCTTACAACGATCGCTTGCCCAATTCGATTAACGATATCGCTAAAATGACAAAGGGGGAAGGGGCAGTTATGAATATTCATAACATTTGTAACAATGATTCGTCGATTTTTCTTCGTTTAGTTTTGTCGGACGACTTTCGACTATCGATCGTGTATTGTCTTTTTCTTTTTTTTTTTTTTTCTCTATAGTTTTCAATCTTCTTAAAAGAGAAATCGTTGTTTTTTCTCTTTGTTTCTTCTTTTTTTTTCTTTCTTCTCCTTTTTTTCTTCTTTTGTTTTTTGTTTTTCGTTTTTTTTTTTTTTTTTTGTTTTTTTCTCCTTTTTCCACGTTGGTGGCTTGTGCGAAGCAAGAAACTTAAAGCAAGAAGGATAGTATAAAAAGTGGAAATAAATGAAATCAAAAGAAACATATAAATAATCATTTATTTCTTCATTTGATCTTATCTTGTCTCATCTCATGGGACTCGATATTTCAAAGGCTCTCAGTCGTATCAACGGTAAGCTCCTTCATCGATGACGTATCAATTTTTGATTTATTGTTTATACGCGCGCGCGCGAGAGAGAGAGAGAGAGAGAGAGAGAGAGAGTGTGAAGGAGGAGGAGGAGGAGAGAAGGGAAGAGCGCAAGAGAACATTCAATGAGTCAAACTCTTAAGTTGATGTGCATACGAATGCGGTTATGAGCACATTTCGACTACAAAAAACAAATCGATCAATCATGCACACGTAGTTAGGAACACAGACCGCCCATATACAAATGCACTTTTGTACGTATATTTGTGTGCGTGCGCGCACTCACTTGCACGTGCACTCGCTTGCACGCGTGCACATGACACACACACACACACACACACATACACACACACATACATATGCACACGCCCTAATCGGTGTTTAATTTCATTGAATACGAACAAACGTTGTTCTCTCTTCTGCTAATAATCGCATTCAAATTACCTGAGTCAAGTGGGAAGAAGGAAAACGCTCGTAATTCATCGAACCGATTGTCTTTCTCTCTCTCTTTTTCTCTCTCTTATTCTCTCTCTCTCTCTCTCTCTCTCTCTCTCTCTCTCTCTCTCTCTCTCTCTCTATGTCAGCTGATCCGGGAGAGCTTGTAAAAAAAAAAAAAAAAAAAATAACTGTGCATTACGCAAGCACGTCTGTATTATAATTCCCGACGATATACGGTGTCCTAAGATAATTTTAAAAGAGACGAAATTCCAAAAATATGACGATATCTCTACGTCTCTTTTAATTATACAACGTGAAATAAAATATCTTTTCTGATGTTTTTCATTATTTGATAAGAGCAACTACACGTTGCAAGAAGACAAAAGATTCGTGAAGAGGCGAAGGGAAAATTAGTTCGTAGAGTAATATATCCTATTGAGTCTTTTCTCTTATCCTCTCTATTCTTTGGATGATCTTATCTCTTGTTTATCGGTCACACCGTGTATATACGTATGAGTATATATACTCTCTGTGTAACAATGTATATGTATATTCAAAGAGACGCGCAAAAAAGAAGGAAAAGAGAAAAAAAAGATGTAATCATCGCGCTCTCATCGTCGTCGTCGTCGTCGTCGTCGTCGTCGTCGTAGTCGTCGTTGTCTACTCACGAAACGTGATTCGCATCGTTCTACGGTGTGCGAGATGAGTAATGGATGACGATTTTTCGCTGTGTCGTACCACTTTTCTCTCTCTCTCTTTCTCCCTCTATCTCTCTCATTTTTAAACGAAAGAGAAAGAACGAAGCAGCTCGTTTTCGCGTATCTGCATACATCACACACACACACACACACAC